GGACAGTTAAATGCCAGACACCTAAATGAGGTCAGGGGCTGCTGTGAGGCTTGGAGAGCGTGTATGCAATCACAGTCCCTGATATGATCAAGATACAGTTTGCTTCTCTGCCTGCAGGGTGGGTACAAAATCCCAACTTAGGTGAGGCACCACCCTCTGAAATGGTCTTATGCATAATTGCATTGTTTGCAAACAACAGAAACCCATTCACGTTCACTCAATAAATGGGCATGTTTCTTACACGGCATAGGAGCACAGAAGCAAGTTTTAGCACTAAAAGTCAGGCGGCGTGCCCAGTCCCAGGAGGGACCAGCATTTCTGAACTGCTATGTAATCAGGAAACAAGGCAACCCTTACCCTCCCACCCCAAAACCCTCCTCCATGGCCCTTCTACTCTCTTCTTCTTCTCTCTCCTCATTGCAACTTTTGCTTTTTTCTGCACACGTGGCAGAGAAGAGTGACCCCACAGTTACTGGTGAAACTTAAGTGTGCCTTGCAAATTCCTAGGAGAAAATTGAACCTAGATAGAGTGAGGTTTCGTCTCTTCTCAATATAGCACTTACTAATGGAGCCAGGATCATGCGCTTCAGACCCAATTTCTGGCACTATGCTAGACAGAGATGGGGGAGGGAAATGACTTTTGGGGAGGCTGTTAAAATTAGCCATAGGATGACTAAGCCGATAGTTCCTTCGTTCCTTCCTTCCTCCCTCCCTGTTTCTCTACCTTCCATCTTTTCTTCCTTGGATAAATATTTATTGAATGTCTGCCATATCCATGGCATTGTGATCAGAGTTAAAATAGTGAGCAAAACCCACACAGCTCCACCCTTATGGAGCTAACTAACATGCCGGTGAGACGGGCAAACTTTCATCAAATAATTTTTTTAAATAATTTTTAATTGGATGCAAAACAAGAGCTGGGATGTGGGCTATGAAGAAAGGATGATGGGCTCTTAAAGCCATGTGGTCGGAGGGTTCCATCAGGAAGCAGCAATGCATTGGGGTTAATTAGGTGCTAAGAGTATCCCCAGTCAAAGGCATAGCATGCTAGGCATCCCTGTGGCAGGTGGGGAGTGAATGGGAAAGTAAATGGGTCCAGAATGGGAAAGTCCATGGCGCTGGTATCCAGAACTGGGGGGAAGTGTGACCTTCTCACTAATAAATAAATAAGGCTGGAGCTGTGTCCAGGAGCAAATCGTTAAGGATGTCAGGGGTAAGGTAGGTTTGGAATGAAATGGGAAGCCAGTAATGTAGGATTTAAACGATTAAGTGACACGGTCACATTTACATTTTGTAAGGATCACACTGCTTGCCCTGCATGGGGTGCAAGCCTGGAGGCAGGAGGAGATGGCATTGCAATCGTCGCCTGGGGAAGTCTATGAAGCAGTTGATGGCAGAGTCTATGGAAACAGAAACGTTGCAGTAGCCAGCCCTGTTCAGAGAGTCAGAGTTAGAAACTTAAACTACATTCTGGCTGTCCAAGGGTCATCAACACCAGTGTTTTGGAAGTAATCGGTTTGCTATTTTGTGCATCCATTTGGATGGAGTGCAGAGGTGAAGGTAGCTAATGCATGAACTGAGCATTCACCTTCATTCTGCCTGACTTTGTTCCAATGTCCTCTGAGTTTCCTTCACTCGCAGCTCTTTAGCTCTCGTGTAGTCTTGGTACAATGAAAATTCTGCCCAATTCCACTGGGAGCCGAGATTCTCCCTGGTCACAAATGGCTCTTCACGTAGTTTGCAAGAGTAATTGCAAACTCTGAACAATCTTAGTTAAAAAGAAAAAAATAACACTACATTACTCCTCTGCAACTCTAGAGAGCATATTAGGGTTTTCTTGCTGTCTGGGGCCATTGTTAATGATCATTTCTGTTCTCACTTTATGACAATGGTTCTCAGCCTCTGTTTTTATAAAATAATCCCCCTAAAGGACTTGACAGATTCTTATTAGTGGAAAGGAGGGGGCTATAAAATTCATTTCAACTGCAGGTTGGATTAAAAACAGATGTAAAGGTGTGGGTTTGGACTCACATGGACATGAAATTAAATGTTATTACCTGGGTACCAAGTATGGTAGCACCAGAGAAAGCCCTGTTGCTCAGAGAAACCTCTTTCTGGAATGAAGGTCAATGTCCTTTCTTGGTGCTGCAACCCTCTGGGGCAAGGAGGAATCACTTCTTAGGCTACCCAGTGTCGTGAGCAGTATGTAAGGGGCCTTGTCCCAGACTACAAAGTTACAGTGTTGAATTAAACATTGCCCTTGCCTTCCAGAATTTCACAGCCTGGGTAGGGCAAGTCCACAAAAAGTTACAAGGATATATAATTCTGCTTCTAAAAGAAGAATATGTGAATGGCCATAGGGACCTCCCGTAAAATTCAGGCCCACTGGAAGGGTCAGTGAAAGCTACAGAGAGCACGCTTGGGTAGACGTTCAAGTCTCAAGACTCAAGACCTTCCATGAGTTCAAATGGGGCCGGGTGAAGGGCAGTTTAGGATGAGAGAAGGTTGTAATCAAAGGGCTAAAGGAATACTAGTGCATTGTGTCTTAAGTATTTGATTTAGCTGGATCTTAGAATGTAAGGATGTGTTCGGAGATGGAGGAAGTCACAGGAAAGAGGGAGTAGGAGCTGAAAAGGTTGAACCTGACCATGGTAGCTATCATTTTTAATAAATGAGATGATGCATGCAAATTTCGATATGAAGTTTGGAATGTAGTATGGATTCAATGAAACTACAACTACTATAATTATTAGGACTCAGATAATCCTGCAGTGGAGGCATACTGTGAATTTATAGATGAGAACCATGTATTTTGACTATTTATATTCTAACTGTTCTAACCATTCTTCCCAAATCATGTTCTTCCACTTCTCAGCTTTACGATGTCAGCTCCATTGCCACTTCCTTGATGGAGCCTTCCCCAATGTCCCCGATGAAGATCTGTCTATCTTCCCCACTGGACTGTAGGCACCAGGGGGACACTACCTGACATTTAAAAGGCTTAATAAACAATAAACTTTTAAAAAGCACGGACTTTGTGCCAGGCACAATGCTAAGTGTTTTACAAATATTAACTTTTAATATTCACCTGAATTCCTTGAGGCAGATACTGTTTATTCCATTTTATTGATGAAGAAACCGAGACAAAGAAAGGTTGAGTGACTTGACCATGGTCACAAAGCTAGAAGGTAGTGAAGCCAAGGATGATTGGAAAGATAGATGGATGGGTAGGTGGGTGGCTGGATGGATAGATGGATGGGAGCCAGATGGATAGATAGATGGGTGGGTGGGTGGGAGGATGGATGGATGAACGGGTAGGTGGGTGGGTGGATGGATGGATGGATGGATCAATGGGTCTCTGGGTGGATAGGTGGGTGGATGGGTGGGTGGATGGATGGATGAGTGAATGGGTAGATGGGTGGATGGGTGAATGGTTGGGTGGATGGGTAGGTGGATAGGTGGGTGGGTGGGTGGGTGGATGGATGGATGGATGGATGGATGGATGGATGGATGGATGGATACATGGATGGATGGATGGATGGATAGATAGACGTGTGGTGAATGAGTGCATCATTGCCATTTGTTGACACTAGCCCATGAGATTGGTCATTTTTATTAGTTGAAAGAAATTGAAGAATCAAAATGCAAAGAAAAAGGCTGTTGAAGGGTGAATAGTATCACCACCATTTCAACCACTTAATAGCTGTATCTATTCTTGGGTCTCTCTGCAGATCCCCCTTCTTTCCAATATTTTGAAGTCATTTGAGGTTCTTAGGTGTTGTAATTTATCAACACAAGGGGACTCACCAGATGTGAAGACTACACACACACACACACACACACACATATATATATATATATATATATATATATATATCCACATACATACACATATGTGATCTTCATTTATATGTATGTATACATACAGATATGTATATCTGTATATCTATATATCTAGATATACCTATCACATTAGGGAAGGTGGTATATTGTCTAAACATATCTGCAAATAATGTTTTAAATTTACCTCTAAATCTTGTGAATTGTATTGAGTCTTGGTGTAAATTGTATTGCTACTTTATAAGAGTAATTCAGTGAGCAATGGATCAGGATTCCAGAACCCTACAAAGCAGTCCCATCTCTGCTACTTAAGTTTCTCCCCAGAGAGGAAACAAGTCAGTATCCCAGCCCCCTTGGGTATAGGATGCCATAAACGTCTTTCAGATCTCCCAGAAATCTTGGTTTTTCTGGTAGGAGATGACCTGTCTTTCAACTCACTGAACTATAGGATATTATGATGGCCATTTGCAGTTCAGGTGATATTTGGTTTATTTAAATATCAATGAACATGTATCTTACTCCCTCTGATTGGGTGCTGATAGCCATATTTATGGAATTTATTACTGCTGGGATACCTTATATTGTAATACTACTCATTGCAAAATTAAATCATTTCTGTATTTGAACTTTAAGTATCACCTGAATCAGCATTATAGAATCCTGCAGTTCTAGAGTTGAAAGGAAATGTAGAATTCATTTCATCCAAGCTAATTCCCAGGAAGAAAATCCACAGTGATGTATCTGAAATGTCAATCTCCAGTCTTCCCTTGAACACCTCCTGTGACAGGAACTCATGGTGTAATAGAAGAATACAGTAGAGTGCTTCCAAGCTTGGTGTCTACTTGCCTGAGTTCAAATTCAGGGTTCACGATGTACATCAACGTCTTGTGAACTGTGGGAGCTGTCTGGGCCTCAGTTCCCTCTTATGAAATAGAGAAGATAATAACACCTTCTTTACCGGGATCCAAGAGGATGTAATGAAAATATATTGAAGAACTGAATCATTTTCATCCTCATCATCACCATTATTGCTGTTAAATTCGCAGTATAGTCAGAACCTATTTTGGAAGTTGGTCTATATTAGTATGACAAAAAAAGTGCAGACAAAATTAAAGAATACATTTCTTGATACTAAAGTCATTCCCCCTTTTCTTCTTTAGGAAACTGGTCAAAGAACTCATGCAAGTGGAACTTACAGCTTCCTTGATCGGACTCAGCATTCAGTAAGTGCAACCCATTTCGAACATTCATGCCATAAATATATCCATGTCTTTGATCCTGTTCTCTATGAAAAGCTCTTTTCTGCAGGTTTGAAGTTGTTACAAAAACTTTGCCGCCTGCCTATGTCTTTCTCTTCTGCCCTATTGTACTAGAGATGAGAAGAGGGCCTGCAAGGTAGAACCACCCTCCTTTAGCCCTCCCTCCCCAGTGAACCTGGGAAATGTGTGAGGTTATCAGTGGGTTAACTGTGCCTTTATTAGCTGGGGATTAAAATAAAATGTGTTTGTGGTTTCTTTTTCTCCCCCCTAAGGTTTTCTCATCAGGAGACATTCTGTCCCCCTTCTGAGTCACATGACCCTCCAAAGTAGAAAGAAATGCCAGCAAATACAGATCAGTTACTGAGAGCATGTATTTCTTGAGGCATTTAAGAACAATTCATTTGCTCTTTTTGAGCTGGAATACGTGACTATGATATGAAAATTACTGCAAAAAAAATTTTGTACTTTAAGATGCTGGGGTACATTTTAGAAATTTCATTTGTTTTCAGCAAGTAAGCACTTTTCCGCTTTCTGCCTTTCTCATTGCATGCAAGGACTTTATTTTTGGTGAAGCTAGCAATATTTTGTCCAATTTTCTCAGCTCTCTTTTTTTTATATATACATATATACTCTAGCATTTGGAGTAGCACCTGCACAAAGTCTCTGATATTGGCCCTCCTCTGCAATAGTTTTATGGGTAAATACCTTGTTTTAGGAAGAAATCTGTAATAATTTAACAATAAATATCAAAATTTTAAAAGGCTAGCTGAAAGAAATATTTATTTTTCAAGATGTAGCTTCCTTCATAGGAATGCAGAATTTTTTAGCAGGTTCTACTTCTGAAAGTGCTGGAGTATAATTTGATATATCAAATATCAGCCCATGTCATAAAGGAGCAGGTAGAATTGGAGGCCATGGGACTCCAGGCCTGGAAGATGCTGATCAAAGGGAATTCTTTTGCCCTCAGTGGGGTTGCAGGACTCTTTCTATTGTCCTGGAATTTGCATATTCAAATGTAGAGAAGAAGGAGGCGGAGATAGAAAGAACTAAAAAGACTGTGTATTAGCTGTTAGCTACATCAGGATGACTTAGTGTAACCCTGATCAGCTAACGCTTGTATCACACAGGAGATTAGACTCGCAGCTTTTGTTCCTAATAATAAAGGAAATTCCATCTCTAATTCCCTACATGCCACAGCTATCTTTTCATGCCTTTGAAGTTCAGGCTTCAGCATTTCTTGAAAACTGGGAGGTTTTGTAAGTAAAAAGGAGGGGGCTGTTTGGCATGAAGTCTGTTCAAATCTATTTAGTGTAAAGTTAAATATGCTTGTTACTTGATCTTTTTCTGTTTCAAGCAGCGTCTTTCTCTTAGATGCCTTTGTTAGTGCTGGGGCAGGGAGGGGAGGGATGGAGGACAAAAGGTTTCAAGGATGGGTTTTCAGATCATACATGACCTTCTCATTCCTCTGTCTTCTGAACATGATTCAAATTGCTGCTTCTCTGAAAGAAATTCCTGTTCCAAACCTGCATTGGGATTGGAACTTCTAACCTAAGGGAGGCTGTGGTCCCTAAGATAATTAGTACAGGGATGTAAGGGAGCTCATGTTAATTTGTCTATGGATATGGTATTTCTGTATCTACAACTGCCGTCTAAAAAGAGACATTTAAAAAAGTATTAATTTACTGCTCTAAACCAGTGAGCAGATATAATTTTTTTTTGAAACAAATCATTTTAGAAAGGAAGAAATGGCAAGATGCATCATTGGGGAGGTTTATGGGTACTGACTCCTCTCAGTGTATCTAGTAGATTTCCAAACTGTCCCTGGGATTACAGCTTCTCTGGTCCAGTGAACCTCAATCCACTTCCGAGACCAAGCAGTCACTTCCTCCGGAACAAACACTGAGTTCTGGGACGTCGCCTGGTTGTCAGGAAGGCAAATGATTTGACATCTAAGCTGGCCACATGCCTGGGTTTTGTGTGCTCTTCACCCATAACATGTTGGATACATGCTGGTGGAGAAATTGCTCCAGTCTCTTGCAGGATTTTAGAGGGAGCGATGACTTAATAGTTGGAATTTGTTCATGGCTGACACTGGGCCTGGGCTGATGTTGGGAAGAATGCCATATTTTAGTCTGAATCAGAGTTTTGATGTCTCCATTGGCTTCAGAAAATTAATTTTCATTTCCTGCTTCCAAAATTTGGTTATTCTTGTTTATTTTTTTCCAGAATGTTTCCTTTGCATCAGGACCCTTTGGATTGCTGATTGTTCAATAGTATATCACCTCTGATGATACCCATAGCATTTACTGTAGTGCTGGTAGACCATCAGTACTTGCAGGATATAATGATAGTCAGACAGGTACAAGAATGGAAAACTGAATAGGTAGATGAGTGCATCTTAACTCCTGATGGAGTATTGTGTAAACGGGAGAAAGATAGCATTGACCTTAGACAAGAGACCAGTATGGGTCTTTCTGATGGTTGGATTTTATTCCCTCAATATTCTTCTTCAAAGCTTTCACTTCTACTTTGACAGGTCTAGAAGAACAGATTGGCCAATGCACATGATGTAAGAGAGTGAGCTCCCAGGAAGCAGCATCTTTTTCTAGCTCTCCACATCCCTTTGTTGTTATCTGTGTGCTAAGAGGAAAGTCACAGAAAGCTTATAGTAGCAGGGTCAGTGGTGGAACTTAAGCCTCAGCATGATTTTCTACAACTTGAAAATTTAACTTCCAAGAGAAGTCTTCCTTGATCTCTATTTTCCCGTCAGGTTAAAAATCCCATGGCATGCTGCATCACGTTTATCATTAATTAATTGTGCAAACTTTATTTTTTTCTTTTTCTTTGGTCTAGTGTTATCCAATACACCAGTTCTGTGATTATAGGAATTTTTTTTTCTCCAAGTCTTACTGAGGTATTATTGACAAGTAAGAATTGCATCTATTTCAAAAGCATAGTCATAATATAATGGGCTTTGGTGACTCAGAGGGGGAAGGTTGGGAGGAGGTTGAGGGTACAGAGAAGAAGAAGGAGGCGGAGATAGAAAGAACTAGAAAGATGGTGTATTAGCTGTTAGTTACCTTAGAATGACTTAGCGTAACCCTGATCAGCTAATGCTTGTGTCACACAGGAGATAAGACTTGCAGCTTTTGTTCCTAATAAGAAAGGAAATTCCATCTCTAATTCCCTACATGCCACATCTATCTTTTCATGCCTTTGAAGTTCAGGCTTCAGCATTTCCTGAAAACTGGGAGGTTTTCTAAGTATTGGGTAGAGTGTACACTGCTTGGGTTATGAGTTGCTTGGGTGGCGGTGAGCCAAAATATCAGAAATCACCACTAAAGAACTTATCCATGTAACTAAAAACCACCTGTACCCCAAAAGTATTGAAATAAAAATACAATTTAATTTTTTAAAATTGCATAGATTTAAGGTATATATGAGACATGTTAATGTACGTATCCCTTGTGAAATGATTACTACAATCAAGCTACTTAACATACGTATCACCTTACATAGTTGACCCTGCTAAGAGAATAGATAAGGAATATTCTTTATCTGTGCTGCTGTTCAATATGGTAACCACCAGCCAGATGGAGCAATTGAACACTTGAAATGTGACTATTACACCTGAAAACTAACTGAAAACTAAGTGGTTTTAAAAAAAAATGTTATTTAAAAAAATTTGTTACTTTAATGTTGTTATCATAATTATTTATGGGACAGAGCCTCACTCTGTCACCTAGGCTGGAGTGCAGTGGCACAATCTCAGCTCACTACAACCTTTACCTGCCGGGTTCAAGCGATTCTCCTGCCTCAGCCTCCCAAGTAGCTGGGATTACAGGCACCCTCCACCACGCCCAGCTCATTTTTGTATTTTTAGTAGAGACTGGGTTTCGCCATGTTGGCCAGGCTGGTCTGAAACTCCTGACCTTAGGTGGTCCTCCCACCTCGGCCTCCCAAAGTGCTGGGATTACAGGCGTGAGCCATCATGTTATTTAAAGTAACATAAATGTGTTACTTTATTTTTAATTGACAAATAATAATTGCACATATTCATGGGGTACATAGTGATGTTTCTATACATATACTGTATAGTAATCAGGTCAGTGTAGTTAGCCTATCTATCATCTCAAATATTTATCATTTCTTTGTGTCAGGAGAGTTCATTAATTTAAATTTAAGAGCATGTGGCTCGTAACCTGCTACTGTATTGTTGTATAGGATGGCTTTAGACTAGCAGCCTTATAAATACAGGGGCTAAGTCGGAATTGTCTGCCCTTGTACCTAGGCTGACACTTATCTGTTATAGATCAATTAAGACTCTGATTGATAAATTGCTACTGTCTCAAACCCCAAAGTGTCCTCTATTCCCTGCCGTTCCATATGTTCTGCTTCCTTGCATTTACCCTTGATCCAGAACTAAAGGTTTAATGGTCCCCTGGGACTGTGCTCGATGCCACAGCATTTGTCTGTTCTAGCTGGTTGGTGCCTAATGCATGCTGATTATTCAAATAGTGTATCACCTCTGATTATTTCCACGGCATCTACTGTAGTGCTGCCCCATAGCTGACCATCAGTACTTGTTGGATATAATAATGGTCTAGCAAATAGAGGGATGGAAGGATGAAGAGATAGATAAATGCATCTCAGCTTTCGATGGGGGTGTTGTGTGAGAGAAATGTAACATCAACATTAGATGAAAGACCAGTATGGGTCTTTCTGACAGCTGGATTTTATTTCCTCATTGTTCGTCTTCAAAGCTTTCACTTCTACATTGATAGGTCTAGAGTAACAGACTCCTTATCTATCACTGATTCCTAATGGCATATGCAGCACAGATTGCTGTACATCTTCACTTATTTCTTTCTGTCACTTAAGGCTCCCAATGCATAACACTTGAAATCAGTCCGCATCTCACTCATTCACCCATGGGTACCACTCTCTTCCCAGGAACCTCAGTC